CCCCCCCATCCCCATCCTGCTCTTCTCTCTTCGTTTTTTTCATTTTGTCTGATCTTTGGGGAGCTTGCTTTCTAATTTCAGATGTTATTGCTCAGCCCCCGACAGCAGCCCTAGGAGGAGTTTGAGTCGTGACTGACACCGTACCGTGACGTCAAAACGTTCCCTCAGTTCGGCATCTTTCTGCGCTCATCCCAATGTCATGACATGACTCAATATGATGTCACAAGTGAAATATTGGTCGCAATGATATCAGAATGAGTACAAAGAGATGCCAAAACGGGGGACCATTTTGACGTCACGGCTCAAATTCCTCCTTGGGCAGACCCGGGAGGACTAAGAGCGGGGTGGTTTATTCCTCTCTTCCCAGACGCCCAGGTACAAATCGGCAGCTAGACGAACGAACAGCAGACAGTGCTTGAGATGGGGGAATGGGGAATCCGCACGGCGGGGAGGAAGGAAACTAATCATAAGATGCAGGTAAGATTTATTTTCCAGATTCCAGTTTCCAAACTTTAGGAATAACATTTTAAAACAAACTGTGACGACGTTCGAAATTAAGGCAACGTCTTGAACGGCGGCACAGGACATGCAAGCCTGCCCGTGGTGCGGGCGTATTGGAGCACTTTACTCGAGGACGGAGGGTCGGCACGCGTCGCAAACCACCTCGACGGACCGAGGCAGGAGGCCGCGGAGGTCCTGCAGCTGCATCAGGCAGCCAGCGACGTCCGTGCAAGGGATATTATGGGGACGTCGTAGGACGAGCCGCCGGAGGTGGAGCAGGTCGCAGGCAGCCAGGTTCCGACCAAGGTCGGGGAAGTAGTACCTAGCTTGATAACCGCCGTCGTCGCGATTGACGGTGCAGAACAAGCGCAGCTCCAGCAGTGAAGAGGCATGCGCGCGAATCAGAGAGAGCATGGTGGGCTTGTGGTCGATGTCGGAGATGACGCCGAGCCAACGAAGTTTTCTGTACTGTGAAGGGGTGAACGTGATATTGGGACCTGAGTAATTATTAACTGTGAGACTCTGCAGAGCGGGCATGCGCATCATACAGTACAGCTGTTGCGCGCTCGGTCGATTTATCATGAGCTCTTCCAGCTGCAACGGCAGGTCTGGGTAGTCGTCTCGGTCCCTCACGCAATCGATGTTCAGTCTTTTGAGCGAAGACATTTTCTGCACCTCCTCCAAGACCTTCGGCTCAACCTTGTCCGAGAACTTGAGCTCCTGGATGTGCAACGGGTGCGACGCTATAATACGCAGCAGCCTGTCCGACCCCTCGCCCCTTAAGCCGTCTATGACGCGTATGTATTCCAAGCGCCGTTTGTTTCGCAGTATTTCGTTCACTTTCAAATCGCCTTCGGAGAGATCATTGCGTTTTATGGAAAGAGCGGCTAGCGTTGGAGGCCCCACGTATGTGTCTGGTGAAGAGGAAACAGCGACGTCGTCAACCTGGAGGTAGAGAAAGTAAAATAAGCACCACGCACTGCAACATCAACATGATCAGCACGCCTTATGGCGGGTTTACGATGGAGTTGGTGATTTCGGAACACAACGAGATTTTAACGGAACAGAACAAATTTTTCGGGTACGGAACGAAAGGGTGTTTACGATGTTTCAGTAACGGAACAGAACGAAAGTGCGTTCCGTGCAGCAGGGACGCTTCCTCATTGGCTGACCCTTCGTTCTGTTCCCGCTCCTTCCCATCAAAATGGGAACCCGTCGTTCTGTTCCGGCCAAAGATTTCGTTCCGTTCCGGCAAAACGGCAACATAAACACGCCCATAAGGAACAAGCAAACGAGATTCGTTCCGTTCCGCACAAATTTCGTTCTGTTCCGAAAAAGCTCCATCGTAAACCCGGCATTATTCGCCGATGCTCGAGTTAGTCTCAGTGAACACAGTCAAGCCTCCTCCTCCTCCTCTTCCCCCATTTGATTTGCGTAATCTGATTGCCTGGACAGCTTAGAGCTGGCTTCGGTTTCCATTTACATTCGACCGATCAGTTAACTCTGAACGAATGACGGGGAATCGCTTTAGGTTTCATCGGCTTCGCCGAAAATAAATTTACCTGCACTAGTAGGCCGTCCTCTCGCAGCTGTAACAGCAGGGGGCGCAAGGTGTCTCCAAATCCGCCCAGCTGCACATCAGCCTTCCAGGTAGATCCATCCTGCTCCTCCGAGACGACGCTCCACTTGTTGTTGAGCAGTCGGTGGCTCTCTTCCAGCTGCACGGCCAGCTGCAGCTGCTCCTGTGAGGTGCCCTCATCGTCTGCCGCACCCCGCTGCACCTGCTCCAGGGCCTCCTCCAGCTGCCGGAGCTGGGCGACGGACGCGTCCAGCTGGCGGTTGAGTGCCTCCATGGCCTTGGGGACCGCCAGCAGCAGCGCCTCCACCACCTTCCTGCCCGCGTCCACGCCCCGCTGCAGCCGCTGCTGGTCGCTGTCCTCTCTTCTAGGCTTCTTGCGGGGTGGGGCTCCGTCGTTCTCAATCAGTCGAATCGCTAGGATGGTGTCCGGAAGGTCATCAAGGTCACCGGGCAGGTCCTGTAAGGAAACAAAGATGTTCTAGTCAGTGACAATATAGTGGTTTATGCACAATGAAAACAAATATAAACTGTTTTGCAAGGCATATTAAAGCATATCATAATTATGTGCTTTTCAACCCATGATTTCAACAGTACGAGAATATACATCAATTAGCTCCTTATTGTCCAGAATATTAGTTTCAGTTTACCCTCTGTCACACCCTTGTCATTAGTGTGAACTTTTTCACACACATATCACCACCTCTAGTTAAGAAATTTAAGTTACCTGAACTTTTTTCTACACATTTATGAGTGAATACCGTTGAATACTTATTTAGCCATTTTCTGGGCCTGGTATACTGTTATGTCATAATAAAAATTATA